GGAGGGCACAAGTATTGTAGCACGAACCATGCACTTTACGTATATTAGAGAGAATCAATGCGTCTTGAGCCACGACCCATGGTCTTGATTGCGAACATCTTCATCAACACGTTTAGAGTTCATTACTTGAGTATTCATGAACTTGGGTAGAATTGTTTAGGGTGGATTCCGAAACCCTAGTGTTTGTTACTTGGTACTTTCACATTTTGATAACTCATCTTTGCCATTCTCATTTAATTTCAAAGTCCATTTACTTTCATGCAATAGAAATAGGTCACTTGAACCAAATCAAAACCCCCCCAATGTGTGTGTGAGTTGTGTGTTTGATACGTTGTGTGTCTTGTTTACTGAATTCTGTTTATTTTCGTAACTGTTTTGGACTTTTGGTCCGCGATGTGTTCTTCGTTTTTGTGTGCTGAATCCAACCGTATAAAGAACGTGAATTTTGGACGTACGGTTGGAAAGTTATAGGCAAAACACTGGACAGAGGTCGAAACTGAAAAACAGAGAAAACGACTTTGTGCAAAAACGACCGGTCGCTTTTACCTGACGACCGGTCGCTCATCACGTCAAAATTTGAGTTTCGACTCTGCCCAAAAACGACCGGTCTCTTTTACCTCACGACCGGTCGCCAGACACTGTTCACGCACTATTTTAGCACTGTTCATAGGTGATAAAGTGGTGATAAAATGGCGATAGAAAATGCTGTTTGTGTTTTTCTTTAGTTTTCTTGTGTTGTTTCATTTCTTTTACACTTCTTTACTCATTTTTAGTTTCCATTTTGCATTTGTGCATTTGTGGTGTGTCAATTAAGTGTTCTTTACGTACTCAAATTAGAACTTATAGGAAGCCGACAAATTCTTCGTGGGATCGACCCCGTACTTACATAATCTATACTTCTTTAGATTCGTGCACTTGCGGGTATTTTTAATTGGTTGTTTGCACATTAATTTGTGTCCTTTTAGGAATGCAACAAAGGCAAAGAGAAATGAAGGGAGGACTGTTGGCAGCTATTATGTCCGCTACTATTATTTGTCGAAATGCTGCATTCGGACTTGCATCCACTTGAAATGGTGTCGCCATTTGAGTTTGAGGTGATCATGGCCATAACACCACAACCAACTGCAGTGAATATGTTCTTCTGGGAATATGCAAAAGGCGTTCCCTCCAAGTTGGCTGATTGGCTTGTTGCTGCAATTAGAGAAGGTGATTGGGTTTCTGACCTTTAATGTGCCTTCTTCCACTGAAATATCTAGCACCTCCAGATTGGTACGGTTCCAGAAAGGTTTCGGATTTCCAGTGGAGTTGTCACAGATTATTTGGAACCAGCTGTCGTTAATGTAACAACCTGTTCCAATTCCAAAAGGATATGGGATTTCAACGCCCCCGCAATTCGATTGATAGTTAGGCCTTGATATGGGTGGTTGTGCTAGTACTGGACTACTCATAGACCACCAGAACAGAGTAAACAGAGTAATATGGGAAAGCAACATGACAACCATTCTGCTTCTTCTTCGTCCTCTTCTTTTTATCTATCTCAGTTTCTAGTAGGAAGCTTGGAATTAGCTCGGAAACCCAATAAATCTCAACTCCCAACCTTGTGCAGAACAAATATACAGAAGGTGTAGAGATAGTAGTTAGTTCTCTGCACTTTCCTTGTGCTTGGTTTTCTGCATTGCTTGAATACTTTTCCCTTAAGCTTTTCAAAACCCAGACTCATCCTTTGATTTGATTACACCCACCCAGTCAATTCTCCATCAAACTTGGAAAATATAATATCAATGATGTTTTCCTACGTTATCTTCACAACAAGAGAAGTACCGTATAAAAGTCATGCTGTTTCTTGTTGCTGCTTGTCTTCTAAACAGCCATACTTGACAATGAAATGAAAAAAAATAAAAGGGAACTTTGATAGTGAAAGGCTGACTATTTTTCCAGAAGTTCCATTGATGGTAAAAAAAAAAATTATTTACAGACACTGTCCCAAAAAAAGAATATTATAAGGCACTCAGCATGCTTTGAATTTATAATCAAGTTTGTATTGGCTGGAAGATGTACCAGTTTGGCTTGATGCTCTGTGTCTTGTGATTTTTTAATGAAATATTTCAGTCTTTTAACCCAAAAAAATATGGATACTACTTGTCTCCTTATACTCCTCCTTCCTGTAAATTACAGTTTGACACAAATACAAAAATAATTCATCAAAAACACAAAAAGAAAAACTTATGCACACATGTCATACTCCTATTGGCAGAAATGTAGGAACTATCCTATTTTACAAAAAGTATATACAAAACAAAGCCTAGATTAAAGGCCCATATGGGCAAGTAGGCCCAATTGTAAAGCATTACCGAGCCCAAAACAAGCAAAGGCTCAAATAAACACAGTAGAACCCAACAAAGTACAAACCCAACACAAGGATGGAGGGGTTGAGAGAACACCCAAGCTCACACTACCTTCACGGTCTTAATAATTCGGACATTTTCATATCTTCAATATTTTCGAAATCAATCATTATCTCCATCGCCAGAAGATAAATTTTGTAGCTCCAAGAATGAACCATCATGATGCACCACATCATGCACCACCAATGAGCAGAAATAATAGGCCCACACCACTGCCAGGATGCCATCACCTGAATATATTGCCCAATATAATAAGAAATGATTTTTAGTTTCGTTATTTTTTTTTGTTTTAGATTAATTATTCTATAGACAGGACATTCGATCTTTAAAAACCGTGTTGAGAAAACCTCATTTCAACACAAAGTTGATCCATTTGTTGACATGATTGATTATCTATGGTATAAAATCACCATTTAGAGCATAAACTTTATGATGGCTTCAATTTTAGGTTTTACGTCTCATATCTGATACTTCAAATCTAAAATCGAAGCTTTAAAAGGCCATTCTGTACCGTAAATAATCAACCTTGTTAAAGTTGAATAAAATTGATTATTAGTAAGATTTTCTCTACACATCGGTTCATTCTTTGTGCAAAGACAATCGCTAATCCATATATTATGTAAAAATATAAGTTATCAAAGAAATTTAACAGTATAGGTTTCTTTAATAATATAAAAATAGATTGTACATATTGTAAGGGGACAAGGGCATACCTATAAGGAGCATATTAACCCAGGACATGCTATGTGGGGAGCGGCATTCATAATACCCAACATGATTCTTGCATACGGTGTCTGCAGAACAAGAGTTCCCAATCTCGCACTCATTTTCGTCTGGAATATTATTTAATTAAAAGATCAAAATTAATTCAAAATTCAACCCAAAAAAAAAAAAAAGAGTACAAAATTGAAAGACAGTGTTTGTTTGTTGATCATTATAAAACAAATTAGAAATAATTCCAAGTAACCAAATGTGCCATTTAGTGCTATAAGATTGTTTACCTTGACATCCCTGTAGAAGATATGGATTTCCCTCATAGCCCGCATTGCAGGAACATTCAAGCCTGCTTGAGGATTTATATATTGAAGATCTGCCACCATAACTTCTGCAATAAAAGGAGGACTCAGAATCTACGACTATGGGATTTACTTCTACAACGGCTCCAAATACATCGATCGTCGAATGGTATAAGCTCCATTGTAGCATCACAGGAACATGTTCCATATGATGGATGGCAGAAAAATTATTTATTGAATTTCTGGCAAACCACTTGAACCAGCCCTGTTCTACCAAAAATGCATAATTGCATGAACTACTTGTCGAATCATGAACCTGGAAACTAGTATTGAAGGCAGAGAGAAACCAAGGGATGGGGGTCTGGCAGAAATCAACACCCTTCTTTTCTCATTTGTCGAAAAGTTGTCACATTCAGGCCTGCAACCGGCTGAAATGGTAGAGCCGTTTGAGTCTGAGGTGATTGTGGCCATAACGCCGCAACCCATTGCAGTGAATATGTTCTTATGGGATCTCCACGTCACCGCAGCGCGATTGACAATTAGGCTTTGCTAATAAGGGTACTGCTTCTGATGGTGCTGCTAGCATTGCACTACTCATACACCACAAGAACAGAGTGATATGACCTAGAAACAGGACAACATCCATCGTTCTGCTTTACCTTCTTCCTTCTCTCTTTAATTTTCTATATGACTAGTAGGAAGCTAGAAAGCAAATGATTTTCAAATCTCAACCTTTTTCAGAAAAAAATTAAAAGAAAAGTTGTTTTATATATTGTGTTCAGAGTCAGAGATGGTTATTTCCACCTTCCTTCTCTACATTAATTTCTAACAATATTCAAGGAAGAATTGTTCCCCTTAGGAAGAATTGTACACACGGCTCTCTCGACGCTCTTCTTAGTACTTGGAGGCTAAGTCAAAATTTATATTCAGATTTCTACATGTATATATATTAACTCTAGCAGCCATACTTAACGATTGGAAATAATATAGGTGACTTGGTTTGGTAATGAAATGCTGAACTATCCCCACCATTAATTTATAAGGTGAATTTTCTTTTGCTTTTAGAAGTTTTTTCTTATCTTACTGTTGAAGAAAAATGTGAACCTTCCAACATAATTTCACCACCACTAATTAAATATTGGGGTTTTATTATTTTATGTTTGACCCATTCGAGACGCAGTGTCTCTTAATTACAATCCCTTGCTTCAAGGGAACACTTTTTGAATTTTTTTGGTTCAACACATGGAAGGAAAAGGTCTGTGATATTCTTTTCCATTGTAAATGCTTAAAATAAAACAATCAGGGCCTCACTTCTCTCAATCTCATAACCAAATATTAAACTACCGCATATACTTCTTTTTCTTAGCATCCAAAGTAAAAATGACATGAAAACTGTTGCGGTGAGAAGCCAAATTTGGTCTTCCTCTTTTATGAATTCTCAATTTACAGCCAATGAAATATGCTCAAGAAATAATGCTCTTTCCACGGCGAAGATCAAGGGTTTTTGTAAGTCTTTGATCATCCCTTTGAGTCTATAGAGAAAATTGTAGCTTTTGCATTCACAGTGTGTAAGTCTTGTGCCTATAACTAGAATTGCATTCTAGAGTGGTAAATTTTTATCCTCATTTAAGTACTTTGACATCATTTGACAAGTTTTTATCCTTCAGAACTGCATCCCAACATGGTCTACATGAAACGCCGCTGAAATGAAGTTTGAACACTTTCATGGGCTCATACATAGACCACCAAGTCTGAGTGTTCATCATTAATTTCTAACAATATTCAAGGAAGAATTGTTCCCCTTAGGAAGAATTGTACACACGGCTTTCTCGACACTCTTCTTAGTACTTGGAGGCTAAGTCAAAATTTATATTCAGATTTCTACATGTATATATATTAACTCTAGCAATCATACTTGACGATTGGAAATTATATAGGTGATGAAATGCTGAACTATCCCCACCATTAATTTATAAGGTGAATTTTCTTTCGCTTTTAGAAGTTTTTTCTTATCTTACTGTTGAAGAAAAATGTGAACCTTCCAACATAATTTCACCACCACTAATTAAATATTGGGGTTTTATTATTTTATATTTGATCCATTCAAGACGTAGTGTCTCTTAATTACAATCTTTTGTTTCAAGGGAACACCCTTTGAATTTTTTTTGTGTGAATTTTTTTGGTTCAACACATGGAAGGAAAAGGTCTGTGATATTCTTTTCCATTGTAAATGCTTAAAATAAAACAATCAGATATAATTTCACCACCACTAATTAAATATTGGGGTTTTATTATTTTATGTTTGACCCATTCGAGACGCAGTGTCTCTTAATTACAATCCCTTGCTTCAAGGGAACACTTTTTGAATTTTTTTGGTTCAACACATGGAAGGAAAAGGTCTGTGATATTCTTTTCCATTGTAAATGCTTAAAATAAAACAATCAGGGCCTCACTTCTCTCAATCTCATAACCAAATATTAAACTACCGCATATACTTCTTTTTCTTAGCATCCAAAGTAAAAATGACATGAAAACTGTTGCGGTGAGAAGCCAAATTTGGTCTTCCTCTTTTATGAATTCTCAATTTACAGCCAATGAAATATGCTCAAGAAATAATGCTCTTTCCACGGCGAAGATCAAGGGTTTTTGTAAGTCTTTGATCATCCCTTTGAGTCTATATAGAGAAAATTGTAGCTTTTGCATTCACAGTGTGCAAAGTCTTGTGCCTATAACTAGAATTGCATCCCAACATGCTCTACATGAAAACGCCGCTGAAATGAAGTTTGAACACTTTCATGGGCTCATACATAGACCACCAAGTCTGAGTGTTCATCATCTGCAGATCTCTTCAGGCGATCAGCCGCATTTACAACCTACGAAAAAACCACAATCAATATCATTGGCGACAATGTGACCAAACGCAGTTCATGTTTACTATATCTGATCATATGATACTTTCGTCAAAATTATATCACCTCGGCATCCCAATTTGTTCTGGCGGTGAGCACAATTAGAGCTACTGTTTGTAAAAAAACTCCAAGAAGCATCCCCCACCAAATTCCCTGAAAAGGCCAAAAATGCATCATGTTCTATCACAAATCCTCAATGACTTTATTAGAAAGAGGGATGAGAGGTTCAACTTACTGCCACTCCCATACTGGTTTTAAACCCAAGAACACATCCGATTGGAAGACCAATAATGTAGTAACAAGTCAGGTTAACATATGCCACAACAGCTTGCCATCCACTTCCAATTGCCACACCTGAAATTCCACACAGCTAAATTTAGAAAATGATGCCTAGAGGGCTAACAGTTTGTGCAGACCTGGTTTGTTCATCTACTGCTTTTATCATATATCGCCATACCTGAGAGTATAGGTTGAATGCCATTCAAGAAAACAGAGATGGCTAGCAATGGGGTTAAATCAGACACTGCCTCGACAACCTCGGGATCACTTGTAAATAGCTTGCTCAATCCGACTCGGAATATCAATATAATTGCAGTGAAGATTATACTAATCAGGATGCTTGTTCCGGTCACTACAAACACCGAAAATTTGGCCACTCTTGGATTACCAGCCCCTAGCTCATTACTGACTCGAACACTGCATAAGCCAAATAATCTCGTTATGATTAGAATACTTGTTTTGTCTCCGTCACTATAAAACATTGAACATGTAAAGGATGAATTTAAAATTCTGGGATATACCTGGCTGCCGCACTTAGGCCTAACATAAATTGCAAACTGAAGTTCCAGTAGTTCATGCTGGAAAGATATATCACATCAGAACATGTAAAGTTAGAAAAGAAACCTCGGTTAGTAGATGGTTAAACAAATTGCATAAACAAATTCCAGACTTACGAAATCGAGATTGAGTCTAGTGAGACTGTAGGGTTGGGGAGGAGCCCTGATATGAGCGTTAACCCTTGGTTGTACCATATCTCCAAACTACATTAATACATGATCAGGTGCAAATTATTATCTATATATATATATAAAGCAAAAGGCAGAGAATGGTGAAACATTCAAAATACTAGAAAATATCTTTGGTTAATGCAAACATTAAAAATTGAAATTATTAATTAAATGAGGGTAATATGGTAAATTCACACTTTTTCATATTAAAAAAAAGAAAATTAAAAGAAAAATCAAATAATGTATACTATTTTTATGGAACACAACTACTCATTATCTTTTTTAATTCTAAAATAAATTTAAAATTTAAAAATAAAAGCCTCACGCAAGCGCGAAAACACGTACGGAGAGACTAGTTCGAAATTATTCGAAAGGGAAAAGATCACTTTTTTATATGACATTAGTGGACGACCTTACGTGGTACATGAGATTGGACCTCACTGGTGGGTGGGCCATGACGTGACTGGGATAAGTCTAGCATAGTCCCCCTCTTGAGGAGGGGACTTATTTTCTCAAACGTGTCGAACAATAGCCCAATTTAATGAGTCCAGTTCCATTGTCGTCAAGTTTACCAACCATATATGACCCTTTTCCGTTTTTGTTGAATTTGTCATGTCCTGACCCGCCCACCAGACTAGGCTACATCAAATATAGACATCACCTTCACATAATAAGATAGTTGACTAATGAGGTTTGGTAAAACCGTTGCTTTAGCATTAATGTCCACACCTACCAGAGCATGATAGCAGAGGCAACAGTCAACTTAAAATAAGGCCACATTCCTCTGAAGGCTTTCCAGGACAAGCCAGTCCAAGTTTCCTTGCAGTTGGGGCTTAGAAGAATATAAAGGCCGTATATAACGACAAGAAGCCACCATGAGAGGCTCAGTGTAAGAGCAGCCCCTAGTAGGCCATAGTCCACCACAAAAACCACCAACCAAGTGAGAAGAATGTGTAGTATGAAAACTCCAACAGATATGTAGGCCAGAGGGTTGACTATGTTCTGTGCTTGAAGGAACCTCTGCTGAGGGCAGTTTATGGCAAAGGCATAAAGTTGAGGGATTATGCCCCTTGCAAAGATTTGGCCCTGCTCTGCTATTTCTTCTGATTGGCCTATGGCTATAAGTATTGGACCTGACCACCAATACACAAAGGTAAGAAGAACTGCTGCTCCCAAGTGCAAGATGATTGCTCTTTGGCATATAATTCCCATTGCTGGTAAGTGTTTGGCTCCATATGCTTGCCCACAAACAGTTTGCACAGCACTCGCCATTCCTAACTTTGAATTGAAAGGAAGAGTGTAACATATGTTAGATTATATATAGAAAAAATGCTCTCTTGCTAGACCGTCTTACAACATAAGATACTTATGTTGCAAGGAAAATGACCTTGATCATGTTGGATCTTGCTCGAACATGTGGACTAAATTCACAGCCTGACAATATAAGCACTTGTTTAGCAGCAACTTTGGGCAAGAAAGCATTATGCATAAGTTGATTTCTTAGTCCAAAAAAACAAAAACAGTTCTAGTTCAACCACCAAAAAAAAAACCATGGAGATGAAATTGTTCTAGCTACATGAAT